CAAATCCATGTTTCTTGGCCAAGGCCAGTCTTAACACTGTATACTGAATAGAGCACCCACATTCTGGATTTGTATTTTCAGGGAAGAAAGAAACTTTCCTCTAGCCCCAAATGAATGTATCCAAGCCCTGTCACGGTGTCTGAAATTATTCTACAGGAAAAAACTACCCATTTTCTTGAATTCGTTCACCTGGAGTTGCTTATGAAAAGGCAAATTGTCCTGAGAACAGTAACACCATCAGTTAACAACACCTGATCTGCAATGAAGGCTACAGACAATCACGACTCTGTGCCGATGAGGCACCGGTTTGAAACACTAACCAGGTATCCAGGTGGGATGAATTTCACAAAGGAGTAAAAAGGGCTTAGAAAATGATGGGATTCCAAAGGATGGAAAAGACAACTAAACAAAGACAAACTTTACAATTTTGCCAATTGCCTCTTTTGCTTTCAATGACAACTGTCTAAATCCACTGCAAACACCTTCTCAATCAGGGTTTCTCAATCTTGGTTACACCTGGAGTCTAGGAATCCTGGATTAAACCCCGTTGTATAAAATAGGTACTGCCAGGCCTATAACAATGGCAAAGCACGTGCTCAATAAACGTTAGTAATTGAAGCTGCCATCTCAGACTCACTCCATCTTTTCTAAATACTGGTGAACGGATTGTTCTTGGCTTTAAGGACATCCCGCTCTTCCTCAAATCCCTCTATGATAGTGTCCAACTATATGGCTGAATTGCAATGTAAGTTTTGAAGCTACAAACACCTAGCTCGGCTGAGTCTTTCCTACTTATCTTTCCTCACTATCTCATAGTCTTCTTAACACAGGTGATTTCCTTTGAACTTACTACTACTATTCCATCTCATGTCTATGAATATTTTATTTCCTCTGACTTACCAAATATTTTCTTTCAAGTTCAGGCCAGGAATCCAGTACTGTTAGAGGCTGAGGTGGGAGAATGGCTTGAGCCCAGGAATTCGAGACCAGCCTGGGTAACATAGTAAGACCTTGTCCTCTACTAAAAACAAAACAAAACAAAAAGCCAGACATGGGGGCATGCACCTGTAGTCTTAGCTACTTGGGAGCTTGAGCCCAGGAGTTCAAGGCTGCAGTGAGCTATGATTGCACCACCACCTAGGCAGCAGAGCAAGACCCTGTCTCTAAATAAAAAACAATAAACATAAAGTTCAAAGTTATAGTTATTACGGAGGGGGTGTCTTTTCTCCTACTTTAAACTATCTATGCTACTTTTACTTTTGTATTTGAAAATATTGTTACAAGATTGACAACTGTTTTAATTTGAAAAGAACTTTCACATCTTCCAATGAAATCCACCACTTTACAGATGTGTTTGCTAAAACACAGGGGCATTATTGTAAACTATAAAAGACCGTTGAAAAGGAGAGGAGGGGTCTGAGACCCAAAATTGGTAATACTTAGCAAGATAACTGCCTAACTTAAAATGATACAATTTGTAAAATATTTACAATATGATGTGTATCTTTTGAAACACTATATACCTATCCTTTACCAAAAAACCTGATCTCACCAATTAAACTTGGAATTTTAAATTGAAAGTATAATAAGCATTTAATAGAAGTTAAAGTAACTATTACTATTATTTGGAACTAATTATAGACCTTTTAAAATAATTAATCACAGGTTTTATATCCCTGCTTGTTTTAAACTTTCATTATTGAAACAATTGTCTAATCATTTAAATAATTACCAATAAAATCTAAATGCAACATGGAAAATAATGTTTTTAAATATGTAATTCACCATAATTATAAAACCACAGAATTATATTTGGAACAAATATAAGCAATGGCATGCTAGGACATGTTTAACAATCACTTGGGGCTTAGAGAGCACCAGAATTGCAATATTTTCCAATTTCCATGGTGCAAATACTTTCTGCAACTTCAGGTTACTAACGTGAGGCCAGAAATAACAAAGTGAGAAAGAGGTGCATACAATTGACTCTCACAAACCCATCCAAGTTGGCTCCAGCACATTCCTGAATATGAGAGACCAAACAGTGTAGCCTCTTCATTCCTGAACGCTTTTCATAAGACTGACCATTTCTTTCTTTATAATCCAGTGTACCCTGAACACAAAGTGACACCACCTATACATTATTCTGTTTATACATTTACCTACTCAACTCTATTACAGTGGCTTCCATTCTTTTTGGATATGAAACACAGTACAAACACATATTACCTCATGATCTACCCAGTAAACACATGCATGCAGTTATATGTACACATACACAAATATGAAACTACAAAGGGAGCCTCACAAAATAAGACACATTCTTACTAAAATGCAATACAATAAAATTGTCTGTTCTCTTCCATTTCATTTTTAAAATTAGGATCTTGATCCACTAAATTGGACACATCTCCGGCTGTTTGAATAGTAACCAAGAGTTAGAAAAACGGTGCTGTAATAGACTATAAGCTCATTGAAGATAGGATGATATGTCATTTGTCTGTATCTATTCCTATATCTACTGGTAATTATTGAGGCCCAAGGAGGTTAAGTAACTTGCCCAAAGATGCACCTGCTTTCATAGATAACAATCCCTCCAGGCAAGTGATAATTCACATCACAGAATCAGGATATTTATGGTTTGACACTAAAAGCTAGAGGATCTTCCAAAACAGCTACCCCTTCACCAGAAATTGATGTAGAAGTGTTTTTAAATTGTACTGACTCCATCATTGATAAAAGTGTAGCCCTTTACTCACTGCAGCCCTGTGACCCTGACTGTTTGCCTACATCTCCCTACTCTTGATAATAGTCACCCAACAAGAGTGTGGAAAAACCACCCATGTTTTTTACAATACTATCCATGGTTTTTTTCACAATACATTTCAATCTTCTAGGGAAAGTAGCTATATAAATGCTGATGAATAATAAATCTATAGAATAAACATACTCTCTATATAATATATATTAACACCAGCTTTCTAATAAACAGAAGCCAAAAACTTAATTGGAGAAAATTGGAAAATAAAATCGGAATCCCTGGCCTTTTCTCTTCAGTGTGCTTGTGTATCACATGCTTTTTTATAGGTGCTATTAAATGTACACTATAGTTTCAAGACAATTCAGATAAGCATCTTCACTAAAATACACAACACCATTAATCATCTCAGTGACAGTGCTCCAATTTAACATCTTGGGGATTTCCTCCCCTTCTTCATCATTTATTTGCCAATATTTCCTTGTTATGAATATCCCCCTAGTGACTTTCCCTGGCAGTCACAGCTGTGCTGCCTACTGTGTCTACCTTGACTACAAATAACACCTATTCTTTAAAAAGCAAGCCCTTGAGATGATTCCTACAGCTAGAAGGGAAGCCTTACTATGCGTCAAATTCCTGGTGGCCCCATCCGGGCTCCTCATTGACAAATCTCAGCCTCTAAGCCAGTAGTAATTTCAGATACATGAAACTGGCTTAATTATAAATAAACAACAGTTGATTGTTGATCTGCACTTATCTGAATGGTCAGCAATCAAATGCTGCTTTAATACGTCTCTAAACGACCCCCTTCTTATACGACAAAAGGATTCTTCAATGTATACAACAAAGCCACAAAAATCACTAACAAATTACAGAAACCTGGCCACCAAGAGCCACAACAAACGACTCACAGATAACAAAGAATTTTTTTAATGATAATCAGTAACAATTCTGCATTATAATTATACCTGTTCTGAAAAAAATAGTAACACTATCTAGACAGTGAAATATCAAGAAATAAAGCCAGAGATAACTACATATATATAGTAAAGATACAGTGATACAGTCACCTAAACCATGCTAGGTAGGGAACAGTCCCAGCTCCATCCAGTATCCGCTTTGTGTCTATTTCAGAGAGCAGCCTTCACAACCACCAGAATTTCTGATCTTTTTAAAAATGGAAACCATGAAACAAAGTGCTCTACAACCAGTTGGAGGAGTAAATGAAAGTAGGACTCACCAGCTTGCATTCAGAAACGATTTTTAAGGAAAAAAATGGTACTGTTGTTCAATAGTCACACTACTACAAAAGAAGAGTATGAAGACAAAAACACAACAAAGCATATTTACAAAGTATATCCAGAAAAAATAATGCCTTCAGTGGAATTATGTTTACATTACTCTACATTTTCTATAGGAGAATTTAATTAAAGGTTAATGTTGCTTCAATCAATATTCCATAACTTTTCTGGAAAGCATAAATTTCATCTTTTTTAGGAAGATTCCAATTGGATTACTGTTTCTGACAAAAACTTTCTTCACAGCAAAAGCAATACAAGTCCAACTATGATATATAAAAATGCCATTTCCTCCCAGAGCAGAGTGTTTACTTCAGTGATAGTAACAACACCTCGTTACCCAAAGTGCAGATTCTGTTAAGTAATGGACAAAGCAAATGGCAGCAAAGACAGAGAACTCCACTTCAATTTAACTGTCCTGTAAGGTACATAGTAATTAGCTGCAAAGCTCTGAAATCTTAGCTAGCATGTTAAGTCTGCTACATGACAGTATAATTTGACTTCTTAAAGGATTATGCAAATTACAACTCATCATTCCATTACAGGATTGAAAAAAAGTGACAGCTAATTTATACATAACACACCTTTCAAATCCCTAAGATGCGTAGCACCTGTGCAATGTATTTTGCCGAGATTTTCTTGCATATAAGTACTTGTTTATTGCAATATAAAGAAGCTTACCTAAGAGCTTTAATGCAGTTGTTTAAAAAAACTTTTAGACCACAATTTCAAAAAAAATAAACATTTTTTTTTTCTGTGTTGATATCAGAGGCAAATTGTTTTGGTTGTTTTTGTTTGGTTTGGTTTGTTGTTGTTGTATTTTTTCTCTCCCCCACTAAATTAGATAAAAAGAAGGTTTCAACACAAGGATATTTTTGAATAGCTGGCAACCACAAGCACTGATGTACGAGCCAGAAGGAAGACTCACAAAGATTTCAACATACTTCTGGTAGGTAGATTCACAGTAGATTCCGTCATATCTGTAGATTTTCCTACATTCTGATTGGTTGGGCAGAGGATGCTGGGCAGTTATT